CAACACAGCACACACAACGTAGGGAAAAGAAGATTTACGGCAGGAACAGATAACTGGCAGATGAAATTTTTTTCTCCAGTGTCCTAAATTCCTTTCATAGACCACCAAACACAATTTAAATAAAAGTCTCGCAGCACGTCCTCATGCGGAGGAAGGCCGCCATTCTAAATGCATAGGAACTCGGGGACAAATATTTGAAATTCATGAGATGGTGGGGGGAAGAGAAGAAACCGTGTCTTTTTGCAGAGCGGGTCTTGGTAGAGCGTGTGTCTGTTCTCTTCCCATTTTTTTTAATATATTTTATCCTTAAAAATACTTTTCTTTGGGGGGGGGAGGGTGGCTGACTTTTCGAGGTGTAACAGCTGGACGGGACTGCTCGACCGAGATTATACACACGAGATAGTAAAATTGAAAGACGATTTGAATACGGCCTGCACTAAGCTTGCTGTTCTGGAAATATTTTTTTTGGATTTTGGAGAGTTTTTTAAAAGCCCGCACTGAATGCTTTGAAATTTGTAGTTCTACATGGTTGTTGTGATTCATTCAATATTAAAAGGAAATAAGAGAATATAATATGTTTAGGACAAGTCAATTTTTTTATTATTCATGACAGTTAGTTTTAGTTTTTAAAATTAAAATTATTTCAGAACTTTTTGCTATAAAATACCTAGTAATAAAAACCAAAGAACTCATTATCATATATGGTGCTTATAATATTTTATTCAATTCCATTAAAATGGTTTGCAAATATTATTATCTTAGTTCTAGGAGAGTATTTTAAATTGTGCAAGTTTAAAACGTTGTAATTATGAAAGATGTAATCAACTGATATGTCCTGAAAGCATCAAAGCGCTTCATTCGTTCTTAACCAATAACATTCAATGCCATATATGTGAAAATTATTCATTTATTTATTTTTAATTTTTATCTGTTTTGCTTAATTGATATTCATAAAAATATAATATAATATAATATATATATATATATATATATATATAGAATAAAAGTATATTTTATGAGTAAATGGTACATCCTGTGATGATTTAATGGTCATTTTTGAGTTCAGTATATAAGAAAACATAAATCAGAGCCCAACATTCCGAGAAAAATCTTTTTCATGGTTGGCCTGTATAATCTATAACTTTTGTTATGAATATTTTAAACTATGAATAGAACTAAAAATATTTTGATTTTCTATTTCTTTATTCCTAACAAGCTCATATACATCGTCCTTTCAATCTTTTCCACTACAGAATCTGCATCACTTTTTATCATAATTCTTTTTTTTTTTTTTTTTATTTTTTGGTTTTTTTGAAGTATACATTCCAATATACTAAGTAAGTACCATAAACAGAGATAATTTATTTTGGCACTACCAACAAAATCCCTCAACACAGCACACACAACGCGGGCGAAAAGAAGATTTATGGCAGGAACAGATAACTGGCAGATGAAATTTTTATCTCCAGTGTCCTAAATTCATACACCACCAAACACAATTTAAATAAAAGTCTCGCAGCACGTCCTCATGCGGAGGAAGGCCGCCATTCTAAATGCATAGGAACTCGGGGACAAATATTTGAAATTCATGAGATGGTGGGGGAGAGAAGAAACCGTGTCTTTGCAGAGCGGATCTTGGTAGAGCGTGTGTCTGTTCTCTTCCCATTTTTTTTTTAATATATTTTATCCTTAAAAATACTTTTTCTTTGGGGGGAGGGTGGCTGACTTTTCGAGGTGTAACAGCTGGACGGGACTGCTCGACCGAGATTATACACACGAGATAGTAAAATTGAAAGACGATTTGAATACGGCCTGCACTAAGCTTGCTGTTCTGGAAATATTTTTTTGGATTTTGGAGAGTTTTTTAAAAGCCCGCACTGAATGCTTTGAAATTTGTAGTTCTACATGGTTGTTGTGATTCATTCAATATTAAAAGGAAATAGGAGAATATAATATGTTTAGGACAAGTCAATTTTTTTTATTATTCATGACAGTTAGTTTTAGTTTTTAAAATTAAAATTATTTCAGAACTTTTTGCTATAAAATACCTAGTAATAAAAACCAAAGAACTCATTATCATATATGGTGCTTATAATATTTTATTCAATTCCATTAAAATGGTTTGCAAATATTATTATCTTAGTTCTAGGAGAGTATTTTAAATTGTGCAAGTTTAACTCGTTGTAATTATGAAAGATGTAATCAACTGATATGTCCTGAAAGCATCAAAGCGCTTCATTCGTTCTTAACCAATAACATTCAATGCCATATATGTGAAAATTATTCATTTATTTATTTTTTTTTTATCTGTTTTGCTTAATTGATGTTCATAAAAATATAATATAATATATATATATAACATATATATAATATATATATATATATATATATATAGAATAAAGTATATTTTATGAGTAAATGGTACATCCTGTGATGATTTAATGGTCATTTTTGAGTTCAGTATATAAGAAAACATAAATCAGAGCCCAAATTCCGAGAAAAAAACTTTTTCATGGTTGGCCTGTATAATCTTTAACTTTTGTTATGAATATTTTAAACTATGAATTGAACAAAAATATTTTGATTTTCTATTTCTTTATTCCTAACAAGCTCATACAACATCCTTTCAATCTTTTCCACTAAAAATGTGCATTACTTTTATCATAATTTTTTTTTTTTTTTTTTTATTTTTTTTTTTTTTGAAGTAGTATACATTCCAATATACAAAGTAAGTACCATAAACAGAGAAAATTTATTTTGGGCCACCAACAAAATCCCGCTACAACGCAGCACACACAGCGCGGGGAAAAGAAGATTTACAAGCAACAGATAACTGGCAGATAAATTTTCTTTTCTCCAGTGTCCTAAATTCCTTTTATAGACCACCAAACACAATTTAAATAAAAGTCTCGCAGCACGTCCTCATGCGGAGGAAGGCCACCATTTAAATGCATAGGAACTTGGGGACAAACATTTGAAATTCATGAGATGGTGGGGGGAGAGAGAGAAGAAACCGTGTCTTTGCAGAGCGGGTCTTGGCAGAGCGCGTGTCTGTTCTCTTCCCATTTTTTTTTAAAAAAATATATTTTATCCTTAAGAATACTTTTCTTGGGGGGAGGGGAAGGTGGCTGACTTTTCGAGGTGCAACAGCTGGACGGGACTGCTCGACCGAGATTATACACACGAGATAGTCAAATTGAAAGACGATTTGAATATAGCCTGCACTAAGCTTGCTGTTCTGAAATATTATATATATATATATATATTGGATATATGGAGATTTTTTTAAAAGCATATTGGAGAGATTTTAAAAGCCCGCTCTGAATGCTTTGAAATTTGTAGTACTACATGGTTGTTGTGATTCATTCAATATTAAAAGTAAATAAGAGAATATAATATCTTTTAGTACAAGTCAGTTTTTTATTATTCATAACACTTAGTTTTATTTTTTAAAATTAAAACTATTTCAGAACTGTAAAAAAAAAAACTAGTTTTTGTAATAAAAAATTCCAAATAACTCATTTTCATATGTGGTGCTTATAATATTTTATTATACTCTATTATTACAATGTTTTCTAAATATCGTTATGTTAGTTTTAGAATCTACCCTAAATTGTGCAAGTTGAAGTTTTCAATTATGTAAGATGTAATCAACTGATATGACCTTGAATACATAAAAACTGCTTCATTCGTTCTTTAACAATAACATTCAATGCCATATATGTGAAAATTATTCATTTTATTTATTTTTAATTTTCCATATTTTGCTTAATTAAAAAATATAATATATATATATATGCAGAATAAAGATATATTTTGCTGAGTAAATGGTACATCCTGTGATGATTTAATGGTCAATTTTGAAGTCCCTATGTAAGAAAACATAATTCAGAGCCCAACTTACGGAAAAACTTTTTTTCATGGTTGGTCTGTATAATATTTAACTTTTTTGTTATGAATATTTGAAACTATGAATCGAACTAAAAATATTTTGATTTTTTATCTCTTTATTCTATAACAAGCTCATACTATACAACGTCCTTTAGATCTTTTCCACTACAGAATCTACATTACTTTTATCATAATTCTTTTTTTTTTTTTTTTTGTATTTTATTTTTATTTTTGAAGTACTATACATTCCAATATACTAAGTAAGTACCATAAACAGAGAAAATTTATTTTGGTCTACCAACAAAATCCCTCAACGCACAGCGCAGGGAAAAGAAGATTTACGACAGCAACAGATAACTGGCAGATAAATGTTTTTCTCAAGTGTCCTAAATTCCTTTTATACACCACCCAACACAATTTAAATAAAAGTCTCGCAGCACGTCCTCATGCGGAGGAAGGCCGCCATTCTAAATGCATGGGAACTCGGGGACAAATATTTGAAATTCATGAGATGGTGGGGGAGAGAGAAGAGAAAAACCGTGTCTTTGCAGAGCGGGTCTTGGTAGAGCGCGTGTCTGTTCTCTTCCCATTTTTTTTTTTAAATATATTTTATCCTTAAAAATACTTTTCTTTGGGGGGAGGGGGCTGACTTTTCGAGGTGCAACAGCTGGACGGGACTGCTCGACCGAGATTATACACACGAGATAGTAAACTTGAAAGACGATTTGAATATAGTCTGCAGTAAGCTTGCTGTTTCTGGATTATTATTATTTTTTTGGATATTGGAGAGATTTTTAAAGCAGACACTGAATGCTTTGAAATGTGTAGTACTACATGGTTGTTGTGATTCATTCGATAATAAAAGGGAATAAGAGATTCTTTGCTCTTTATTTATATAATAACTTTAGGAGAATTTATTTTTGTATTATTCATAACAGTTAATTTTATTAGATTTATTTTTTTTTTAAATTAAAATTTTCTTTGAAGAAAAAATTATTTGAGAACTATTTTCTATAAAATACCTAGTAATTAAAATCAAATATCTCATTATTGTATGTGGTGTTTTATAATATTTTATTCTTTAAAGTGTTCTGTAAATATTGTTATGGGGCCTGATGGCCGAGTGACTAGCGATCAAAGGCTACAGGTTTCGGGTTCGAGTTCCGGAGGTGTCATGGATGTTTGTAGTGGTTCGAATCCACTTTAAGCCGTAGGTCCCGGTTTAATATGACTTTTCGGCTTAAGGCTGACAACCCTACCCAGTAAAAAGAAAAACATTTCCTGCCTCTAAATCTGCCAGTAGGCAGACGACTTTGACCATGGGGCTGTTGAGCCAACAAAGAAGAAATATTGATATGCTAGTTCCAGGAAACTATCCTAAATTGTACAAGTTAAACTCTTTGCAATTATGAAAGATGTAGTTAACTAATATATTCTGAATGAAACTGTTTCATTCGTTCTTCAACAATAACTTTCGATGCCATATATGTGAAAATTATTAATTTTTTTAATTTTTTCTATTTTTGATTAATTGATATCGATATAAAACAAAGAAAATATAATAAAGAAAGAAAAATATAAACTACTTACTATTTAAAAAAAGGTTATAAAGAGGCAAAATATAAAGAAAACTCCATACATAGTATAACTCCATTTTTTTCACGATCGATGTTAAATATACGTTATTAACCTTGATATATTTTTAAAAAAAAAAATTTCCGATGTATATAGAGTAGTAGATATGCATAAAATAAAGATACATATAGAATAAAGATACATTTTGCGAGTAAACGATATAAACTGTGATGATTTAATGGCCATTATTAAGTTCAGTATGTAAGAAAACATAAGTTAGAGCCCAAATTATAGAAAAAAACTTTTTCATGGTTTGGCCTGTATAATCTTGAACCTTTGTTATGAATATTTTAAACTATGAATCGAACTAAAAATATTTTGATTTTCTATTTCTTTATTCCCAACAAGCTCAAATACGACGTCCTTTCAATCTTTTACACTACAGAATCTGCATTACTTTTTATCATAATTCTTTTTTTTTTTTTTTTTTTTTTTTTCATTTTATATTTATTTTTGAAGTAGTATACATTCCAATTTACTAAGTAAGTACCATAAACAGAGAAAATTTATTTTGGGCTACCAACAAAATCCCTCAACACAGCAGCACACAGTGCAGGGAAAAAGAAATTTACGGCAGCAACAGATAACTGGCAGATAAATTTCTTTTCTCCAATGTCCTAAATTCCTCTTATACAACACCCAACACAATTTAAATAAAGTCTCGCAGCACGTCCTCATGCGGAGGAAGGCCGCCATTCAGAATGCATAGGATTTGAATATGTCCTGCACTAAGCTTGCTGTTCTGGAATTCTTTTGGATATTGGAGAGATTTTTAACAGCATGCACTGAATGCTTTGAAATGTGTAGTACTACATGGTTGTTGTGATTCATTCGATATTGAAAAGAAATAAGAGACTCTTTGCTTTTATTTAAGTAATATCTTTAGAACAAGTTCATTTTTTATTATTCACAACAGTTAGTCTAATTAGATTTATTTTGTTTATATTAAAATTATTTTTATTGGAAAAAAATATTTGGGAACGATTTCCTTTAAAATACTTAGTAATAAAAAACAAAGAACTCATTAACATATGTGGTGTTTATAATATTTTATTCTACTCTATTATTACAATGTTTTGTAAATATCGTTGTGTTAGTTTTTGGAAACTATCCTAAATTGTGCAATGCGAATTCGTTGCAATTACGACAGTTGCAATTAACTAATTAGCTGATATGTCCAGTATGTATAAAACTGCTAGATTTGTTATTTACCAATAACATTCAATGCTTATGTGTGAAAATTATTCATTTATTTATTTTTAATTTTTATCTATTTTTGCTTAATTGATGTTTATAACTAACTAACTAACTAAATATATATATATATATATATTTTAACGGTCATTTTTGAGTTCACTATGTAAGAAAACATAAATTAGAACCCAAATTATGGTAAAAACCTTTTTCAAGGTTGGCCTGTATAATCTTTAATTTTTGTTATGAATATTTTAAAATATGAATTGAACTAAAAATATTTTGATTTTCTATTTCTTTATTCCTAACAAATCCATGTACAACGCCCTTTCAATATTTTCCATTACAGAATATGCTTTATTTTTTTATCATAATTCTTTTTATTTTTGTTTTTGAAGTTTACATTCCAATATACTAAGTAAGTACCATAAACAGAGAAAATTTATTTTAGGTTACCAAAAAAATCCCTCAACACAGAGAGCACAGCGCAGGGAAAAGAAGATTTACGGCAGCAACAGATAACTGGCAGATAAATCTTTTTTTTCCAGTGTCTTAAATTCCTTTTATACACCACCAAACACAATTTAAATAAAAAGTCTTGCAGCACGTTCTCATGCGGAGGAAGGCCGCCATTCTAAATGCACGGGAACTCGGGGACAAATATTTGAAATTCATGAGATAGTGGGGGAAGAGAAGAAACCGTGTCTTTGCAGAGCGGGTCTCGGCAGAGCGCGTGTCTGTTCTCTTCCAATTTTTAAAAATATATTTTATCCTTAAAAAATACTTTTCTACGGGTGGGAGGGTGGTTGACTTTTTCGGGTGCAAACAGCTGGACGGGACTGCTCGACCGAGATTATTCAGAGATAATGAAATTGAAAGACGATTTGAATATAGCCTGAACAGCAATACG